CTTTCGCTTTTCCCTTTTCGATATCCCGTTCCTGAAGCGCACGCTGCTGCCGCGACTGCTCGTACTGGTCGCGAGCTACTCTGACCAATTCCTGGCGCTCAGGCTCCGTGAGAACGTAGCGCATGTCGTCGATGTTCTTGCTCCGCAGAAAGTCATGTCGAAGCTTAAGGACAGAGAGAATGGCTCGGCCAGTCTCCTCCTGAGACGCAAAGGCCGTGTCATATTCCGAGCCAGGCTGAGGAGCGCCAGCTGGATCAGTGTCCGCTGGCTCCGTGGACTTCCTCTTTTTGAAAAGCAAGAGACTGAGATGATGGAGGACTTTCGGATCGTACTCCTCGTCGTACCTGTCGTCCCAAAGCTGCCTCAGCTCCCTGTGCAAGTCGTCCGCGCGATTCTGAACGACATCCTCGACGTAGTCGGGATCACCCGGTGAAGTCGGTGAAAGCGGAGGAGCAGAACTCGGCGACCGATCCCAATGCACAGAAGACTCGCGGTCCGCCTGTACGCTGACGTCGGCGTCGGAGACGTTTTCGACGACAATTTTCCGCCTCTTGCTCTCCCCAGGCTGAATAGCACCAGGGAGAGTGAGCACAACCGCCACCGCATCGTGTGCGTCGTTGCGCATGCCACGATCCGTAAAAGACGCGCCAACGGCAATGGAGCAGAAACGGGCGACTGCTCCGCAGACCGCGACGTGGTCGCCTTTGAGGTCGGCCGGAGTGGCATGGACCTCCCATACCTTCTCGTCGTTCTGCTCGCGCTGGTAAGCCTCCCGCGCCTCCTGGAAAGTGAGGTTGTCGTCGCCGACTACAAGCACAACGACTGCCTCGTTTAGATTCTCAAGAATCTTGGCCAGGCCGTCCAGGTGCAAGCGGAGATGGCGAACTGTCCGCTTTCGAGTCTGGATGCTCGGCGGTTTCTTGCCGCACACGATGTGCATGTTGGCGATCACCACGTGGAACTTGTCATGGCCTGGTTTGTTCACCTCAAAATGTGAAATAACAGCATCAATATCTCGGCCGCTAGGAGGCCTGTAAACTTTGCTGTCTTCGCACAGAGTCAGTTCCGCAGGCTGAGAAGCACCGCGGAACCCCCAGAGAGTCAAGTAGTTGTCGACCTCCAAGAAGCGAATGCCATCACCGAAAGGCTTACTGAGGATGTCTGTCACGTTGATCCCTGCTCGGCGAAAGCCTTCACGGAACGCACCGACCTCGCAGCCACAGACCATATCAGCATCAGCGGTCTCCACTATCTTGGCGCACAACCTTCCGAAGTTAGCGCAGTGAGTGGCCGCCTGCTTACCAGTCATCATGCCCTGCTCGAACCCGAAATTGAACGAGGCGACCGTGAAAGACGCAGGCTGCACAGCGCCAGAACCAGGCGTCTGTCCACCTTCCTCCGCAGGCTGAGAAGCACCGCGAGGCGGCGCAGGCTGAGAAGCACCGCGAGGCGGCGACACTTCGGACGAGCCTCGCGGAGCAGAGGCTGCGGATGAACGTTGGACATGGGGGTACGGCCAGGGGAACGCCATTGCAATCAAAACTCAGTGGACTGCAGTGAATGAATGTAGTGGCCAATTGAATGCAGAGGACTGCAGTGTCACTAGCAAGTCCTGAACCAAACACAGCTGTGGCGGAAGGAATATGAAGCGTCTGGCTATTCAAAATGTTGCCCGGCAATGTCCTCCTCCTCCTCCTCCTCCTCCTCCTCGTCCTCCTCCTCCTCCTCCTCCTCCTCCTCCTCCTCCTCCTCCTCCTCCTCCTCCTCCTGGTAGTCCTCCCCCTCCCCTCCTCCTCCTGGTAGCCCAGGAATGGGAGTTTTGGGAACTCGAAGAGCACGAAGTGGCCTACAGTTGGCTCCGGGCATTCAAAATGTGGCCCGGGAATGGAGTTCTGGGAAATCGAAGAGCACGAAGTGGCCTACAGTTGGCTCCGGGCATCCAAAATGTGGCCCGGGAATGGAGTTCTGGGAACTCGAAGAGCACGAAGTGGTACAGTTGGCTGAATGTGGCCCGGGAAGAAGAGCAACTGTTGCATCCGGCCCCCCAGAATGTGGCCTGGGAATGGAGTTCTGGGAAGGCGAAGAGCACGAAGTGTGTGACTGTTGGTGAAAAACGAGCCCGGCTCATGCCGCCCGGAAACGCCCCAACACCTGCCCGGACCCCCCTGTGGAGTGATCTGTGAGCTCTTTTGAGTCAACTAGAAACCTATCAGTCTTCGCTGTTAGGTAAAAATCACTGTTGTTGGCCTCCTGGGCTTCCTAGGGGTCCAAGAAAGCCTAAAGACGGCTCAAGATGGCTTCAAGATGGCCCAAGACGGCCCAAGACGGCCCAAGATGGCCCCAAGAGGGCCCAAGGGGCCCCCAAGATGGCCCCAGGGGTGCTCCCAAGAGCGCCTCCAAACAATTTCTTCGTCAATTTCGTGACGGATTTTAGCGTTTTCACATTTTTGCACTCCCGGGGGGACATGACTGCCCAAGCAGCCTCCAAAATGGCCCCCATACTGCCATAGAGGGCCCCAAGACGGCCCAAGAGCACCCGAAGATGGCCCATAGACGCCCACAAGACGATCCAAGAGGCCCTCCAAGGCGGTCCCGAGAGGCCCCCCAAGACGGCCTCCGAAGGAGCCAGACGGCGCAAGAGCGCCCCAAGACGGCCCAAGACGCCCACTAGAGGCCACGAAGTGGCCCCAAGAGGCCCACGAGAAGCCTCCAAGAGGCTCCCAAGAGGCCCCCAGAAGTCCCCACAACGTCTGGACGGTACGTGGTCCGGACGTGCACCTCGCGAAGCGAGAGGAATCAGAGCAATCCAGAGAGGAGCCCCCGAGTCACTGACGACACCGAACTATGTTCCTGGATGGCCTGCTCCCAAGATCCGAATCCGAAAAGCCGCGGGCCCTGGACAATGCGTGAAGCAGCCCTCCAAAAAATCTGCTAGCGACTGACCCTGCTGACGCCTTCCCCTTTTCTTCTTCCTCCTGCTCCTTCTGCTTGCACCAAGTGTGGGGCGTGTCTGACACTCGGGCTGGAGCCTCACTGAACCCCCCTGCCGGCACATCTGCCTCCAGTGAATCCAGCAACCACGAGCGCCCGGCCCCACCCCGAAGGCCCCGGGCACCGTGACAGAACCGCGTCCGGAGGTGCCGTCACCAGGTGGTGCTAATGGCAGGAGCACGGGAAACGAGATCACCACGCGCACCACCACCATCACCGTAATCGGAAATAGCATCGTGGCCGTTCACGTCAAGATCAAGCCCCAACATAACATGCTTAGGGTTATGTCGGGCGTGTCCCCCCACAGGGGGGTTTTCGACGACAAATAAAACATACACCAAACATGCCCCCCAAAGGTCAAAGAATACTCAAAACATAGTCCCCCTACTATTTTGGGATCATGTTTGGATCATGTTTGGGGGATCTGTTTTATGTTTCGTCGTAAATCCCCCTGTAGGGGGACAGGCCCGACTTAAGCTTAGGGGGTCTTCCTTCGGTTGAAGGGCGGGGCACCCTCCCGCCTCCTTTCCCATGTGCCCCCTCGTCCTCCTCCTCCTCCTCCTCCTCCTCCTCCTCCTCCTCCTCCTCCTCCTCCTCCTCCTCCTCCCCCTCCCCCTCCCCCCCTCTCCTCCCTCCTCCTCCTCCTCCTCCTCCTCCTCTCCTCCTCCTCCTCCTCCTCCTCCTCCTACTCCTCCTCCTCCTCCTCCTCTCAAGCGAGTCCTGCTTTTCGGCCCATTTGGCCGCCCACTGGCCGCCCCTTGGCCGCCCCCGCAGGCCCAGCTCCGGAGCGGAGCTCGTTCGACCTCTCCCTCTGTTTGCCCCCCTCCCTCTCCGCTTCTCGGAAGTGCTTACAGTCGGGGCGTTGACCTAAGGAACCCTAAATCAGGAACGAGGCCCCTTTTTCCCATAAGTTACACCTCGATCTCCCATGGACAACCTCATGAAAACCTGAGGCAAGCTGTAGAACAATCAAGAGACACCAGGCCCCTCCCCAACGAATAGGGTTGCTTAGTCAGCGCCCCGACTGTATGTGAAAAGGCGACGTGCGAGAAGCATCTGGGTGCGAGCACATCAGTAGAGGGCCACATGCGAACCCTACCCCCACTCCCCATGATTTCCGAGGGGGAGGGTGGGTTCACTTCGCTCGGGAGCTCCCGAACGAAGTGAACCCCACCCTCCCCCTCGGAAATCGTGGGGGGCAGGGGTAGGGTTCGCATGTGGCCCCCTAATCAATGACAGCAGCTATGCTGCTGCTTGCGCGGATGGCGCTTGGTAGGCATTGGGGAAGTGCGCTACCCTTGCGGTACATTTTGTCGCAGACGAGCTCTTTCCGATTGCACTCAGAGTTCAGTTGGCGTCTTCGTTGGGGCTGCCCGTGATCTTCTCTGGAAGCGAGATGCGGTACCGCATGGACATGGGCATGGTCAAGCAACTCGCGCTCCAAGGAGACTGGCAATCTGACTGACACGGCGTATCTCGAACACTTGGTTCTACCGACACCAGATGTTGCACTGCGGCAGCGGCAACCACTCTTCCTCAGAAGCCTTGCGAACGATGATAATCACGAAGATATCAGAGCGCTGCTCGGAATATCGATGCATACTAAATGGGGCCATGCACGGGTACACGACCTTCATTGGCTCCTGCATAAATGTCGTCGAAAAAATTGTGAAATGGATGCGGGATGACCCCATCGTAATCAAGACACCTGTCTCTATATCGCAATGACGCAGATGTCCTGGCTACTGGCATCAATGACCGTGCTCGCGACCTGGTGCTCGTGAAACTTCAGACGAATCGACACTGGGCTGCAACGTCAGTCTTCAGATGTGGTTCCATGGCCAATGCCGCGCAGTGAGACGAGACCAGCCCCTGTCTCTCGCCACCCTTGCTATTCGAACAGCTCGTCAGAATCCCTCAATCTCGGGCCGCCGCGAATCGAATCCTCTCCTACCCACTCACCCCCGCTACCTCCCTCCACCTTTCCTGCCTCTCCTCCCCAGAAGCGCCGGATTCCATGGAGACACACCGCCGCGCACGATCCAGAAAGCCTGGTCGTCCTGCAATGCGCGGATGCGGGAAGCTGCTACTGTGTCGCCGCTGGTGCTGCCGCGGATCCTCCTCCTCCTCCTCCTCCTCCTCCTCCTCGTCCTCCTCATCCCCGCCCTCCTCCTTATCCTCATCCTCATCCTCCTCCTCCTCCTCATCTTCCTCCTCCTCCTCATCACCACCATCATCATCAACAACAACATCATCATCACAATCTCCATCACTCTCATCCTCATTCTCATCATCCACATCATCGTCATAATCCTCGTCATCACAATTATCAGTACGATCACCAATCATAGCATCACGATCGCAACCGTCATTGTCATTACTGTTACCATCTTCTATTCCGACGCCCCGAAAAGGTCCGAATGGGTTCGGGCAGGGCTCGAGGTTTAGAGATCCAAGCCTGTGGCTAGGAGTCTTGACACGGGACCTGATGCTTGTCAAACAGCAACTTTCGCTGTGCCCCAGCCAGTCGCAACAAAGTCAAGGAACAAGCGTGTTGACGGGGAGGGAAGAGTGAGGGAGAGAGGAGGGGACACATATTGGATGGGAGCAACTTCGACCCACATCATGTCTGGAAATATGTTTTGTTTGTTCTCTCTCTCGCTCTGTCTCTCTCTCTCTCTCTCTCTCCCACTATTGTCCCTCTGTCTTCTCTACATGTACAAATAACCCTCTCTCTATATATATATATATAGTTGTATGAATACGCTTCGTCGTTCTATCTCTATATACAAAAATCGTTTTTTTCTTCTTGTTTTCTCTCTCTGTCTCTCTTTATATCAGTCTCTGCTGCTGCACACGCACGCACGCACGCACACACAGACACACACAGACACACACACACACACACGCACACACATACTCTCTTCTGCTTCGTCGGCGGCGAGGCAGAAGCAGTCCGCACCAACGTGGGGCTAATCGGGCCAACCGAACGGCGAATTGTCTGGCGTGCGCAGACACACACACACACACGTTTTTCGGGGAAGCGAACCACGAGTAACACTGTCACGGGCCACGTTAAGAGCGAATTCATCCTGTTACCTTGTATACAATTGCCGAGGCGCTTTCGAAATAAGACCCCCTCGTCACCACGATGGGCACCCGATGCGAGCTTCTCAATGGGTGCCCTGACCGACTAACCCATGCTGGTTGCACGGACACGAACTTCTGCATGAATGCATGGCTGCACAAGTAGTCTGTCCCAAAGACGGCAACTTGGACTTGTCATGAGCCCAGCAGAAGCGGGATCCCCATCCACACCCTCCTGGGGCTGGGTTGGCCCCAAGCAAGAGCAGTGGATACATGGTCAGTGCCGTTATGGCCAAGACAGCCCTGAAACATCACATCTTCCCAATCGCCCCCTGGCCACTCGAAACAAAATGCCTGGAGGAGCAACTCACAATCATGGCATCCCGCAGAGGCCTCGCCTGCGTGGGGCTTCGCTGCCCAGGGGAAACCGTCCAGTGAGGGAGATGGACTTGGGAGCACAGGGGGACGGGAGGAAATGGGAATGGGAGAGGGACGAGTGAGGTTTGGGGAGGAGATCAAGGGATGGAAAGGAGGGGGTAGAGTCCTGTGGGCACCCCGTGGCCCTGTCCTCAGGAGCTCTCCCCCCTTTCCCAGAGGCCACCTGGGACGCTCCAGATCTCGCCAACCCGGGGTGTGCACCAGCACAGGTCGTGACCGAATCGAAGGGAAGCCCCTTCCCTTCCCTTCCCTTTGATCCCTTCCTCGCCGGGGAGGGGGGGGGAGTCATGGGTCTCGGTGCGGGTAGGGGAGGGGCGGCTCCCCTCCCTGGAGTGACAAAGGAAATCCAGGGGCCAAATTGGCCACCTTTGGGCCACCCAGGCCCGCTAGAGCCCTCACGGGGCCATCCTCAGCCAACTTCGGCGCCATTGGGGGTCCCTCGGACAGTGTTGAAGCCCTGGGGGCCGGAGCCAGCCCAAGAAGCCCAAGTCAACAGAATCCTTTCAATGTTCGCATGTGTTTCGCATTCTTGCCGCACTGGTCGCGAGAGCGTCCAAGACTGCCCAAGAAGCCGCCAAGACCGGCCCAAGATTATCCAATGGGCCCTCAAGAGGGGCCCGAAGGCCCCCAAGAAAGCTTCAAGAGGGGGCCCCCAAACGCGCCATCGCCGCGCCGCTGGAAGCCAACCCTTCCAACACGATCCCAAGACGCGCCGAGAGGCCCTAAGAGGCCCCAAGAAGCCCGAAGGTGCACCCAAGACGCGCCCATTTCACGAAGGCCCCTATGAGCCCTCCAAGAAGCCCCCCAAAGCCTTTGCACGACCCAGGCACATTGGCGGGATGGGCCGAAGGCCACTAGATGTTCGCCCCCGCTTCAAAGCCGCTGCTACACCTCAACCCCCGTCGCCATTCGGCCTCTCGCGTCCAAGCTGTTGTTTTCTCATGGTCGGAAGACGCGGCCGCAAAGCGTTTACAATATGGGGCGCACGCTCGCTGATTTTCGCGGACGTGTGAGGGCACGCACGCATGGGATGCAGCATCAAACTAAAAGGCCACGACGCCGACGAAGCCCTGCGCCTTCGCTCCATGGCGTTCGGCGTTATGGGCCATGTGCTCACGCATGTATGCATGTATATACATGTTCGCGCACACAGCTGGAGACTTCGAACGCTTCTCACGCGCTCAAGCTCTCTTGAAGTCTGGCACACGATCGGCGTCGTTCGGTCGCGGGATCTCGTGAGAAAGATGAGGGAACGGAAACTGAAGGACTCCTCGCCGTCGAACTGCTCGAGGGGGCTCCACACGAACGTGTCGTCCTTCGCCAGGGCAGTGGGCACCTGCGGACCCGCGACTGCCGGCAGAGACCCCGTGTACACCCAGCAAGCACCACTGAAACTCTGCAGCACCGCCCGAACTCTCAGGCTGATGTCGCATCCTGTCGTTCCCCTAAGATGCAAATGCCATAGATGGTCTCATCTCTATCTCCAATATCAAAAACTACACAACAAACCTGTGCCGCCGGCGGTGCCGTGCCGCGCCGTGCCCGGGCGCCGCGTCGCACCCGTGCCTGCGGCCTGGAAGGCGAGAAGGGTGCGGTGCAGTGCGCTGTGGCTCGGAGTGCGCGAGCCGTGCTGCGCCGCGCCCCGTCGCTGCCGCGTGCGAGCCCTACCCCTACAGTCGGGGGCTTGACCTAAGGAACCCAAAATAAGGAACGAGGCCCCTTTTTTTCCATGAGTTAAACTTCGATTTCCGATCGAAAACATAAGGAAAGCCTGAGGCAAGCTGCGCAACACTTAAGGTACGCGGAGCCCCTCCTCAACGAAAAGGGTTCCTTCCTCAGGGCCCCGACTGTACCCCCCCCCCACGATTTCTGAAGGGGGGGGTGGGGCTCACTTCGCTCCAAAATCGTGGGGGGTAGGGGCAGGGTTCGCACGTGGCCCCCTTACCAGAATGCCAGACACGTGCCGGGCCGCTCCCGCGTGCCGCGTCGCAGCGCCGTGCGGGAACGTGGAAAGCGTGCCCCGCACCGCGCCCGCGTGCCAGTCCCAGGCTCTGGGTGTGCAGAGAGGCGTGCCGTGCCGACGTTCCGAGCTCCGCCTCCGCCTCCGCCTCCGCCTCCGCCTCCTCCTCCTCCTCCTCCTCCTCCTCCGCGTCGTGCCCGCTTCTAAGTGCGGCAGCTGTGCCGTGCCGTGCCCGCGTGCCGTGGCCCCCCCCCCCCCCAAGAGCGACCAAAAAGCCATGGGCAAGCCACAGTCGAGACCCGCCATGCGAGACTCGCGGGCCGAGGCCATCTTCACGCCTCTGAGGGTCCCGTGGGGAAGGGGGAGGGGCGAGGGAGGACGGAGGGGAAGGGGGAGGCTGGGCGGAGGAGGGATAGGAAGGGAGGAGGGGAAGGAGGGTGCTGGAAGTCCTGGCGGCGAAGGGAGGCGGAAAGGGGGGACAGACGGGAAGCGCGAAGCGCGCTTCGCAACACTGAGGTGGGCCTCGAAACAATCGGTCGAATCGAAATCCAGACAATCGATACCGACATAATCGATTGGGCCGAGTCGCGCGCACCTCTGGATCGCTGGCGGGACGGGATGGGGGAACGTACAGAGCAAGAGAGAGAGAGAGAGAGATATATATATATATATAGATATACTAGAACCACGCGCGCGCTTCGCGCGCGCTTAGGTTCTAGCTAGGAGGCGAGCTTGAGTCAACGAAAGTCGCAGGGAAGGGGGCAGGGGGAAGAAGGCCAGAGAGCGCTGAAGGATACAAATACTGGAACCCTCTTGTGATTTTGTGGGGGGCCTCGTCCGGCCGCTCGCTGGGAGTTTGACGTAGCTTCTCGGGAGCCTCTGAACCTGTCGGGGGCCTCCTGGAAGCAGGTTCGAAGCATTTTGGGGGCCGATTTGGGGCTTCTCGGGGCCTCCTTGGGGCCTCTTGGGGGTCTCCTGGGGCCTCTTGTGCGAAGATGAGCGAGTTTTGTGCCCCAGCCGAAACGCAGTAGCTCAGCAGTTTAGAGACTGGTACCCCGACCGGGGTAAGTGGAGTTTTTTTTTAAACAGGATAACATAACACGTTATGTTTCCGCGGCCGTTTGCTATCGAACGATATCAGGGGATCCCCTTTTCGAGCCAGCAGCGATAACAAGTTATCAGATGTGTTCCAGTCACAGACTGGGGTTTCCCTGATTTCACAAGCTGTGTGTGCGAGGCATACGCCTCATTTCATAAAGGTCGACCGAGCGGATCTTGCAGCTCGCGGCCAAAAGCAGCTCGACATCATTATCATTGACACTGGTAGTGCGGAGCTTGTGTTTCGAGACGGCCTATGCTTTTGTATTGGTTCAGTTTCTTGACACTCCTTCATATCTCAAAGACCTGTTCCTCGCGGTCAGGCAGTTCATACCCTAACGAGAACAAGTTCTCGGACTACCACTACGAGCTCAACCTCACCGACCCCTACACGTTCAAAATGGCTTTCTCAGAAAAACGACGCGGAGCTAACCAACATGTGTGGTTGGACAAGGATGGCACACCATGCTACGACGGAGACGCAGCAGCAGCAGAAGAATGGGACGAGCGAGTTCGTTTGGGCTTTCTAGGCGTGGACACCTTGGAGAAGAAAAAGGGTTTCGTTGCGAAAGTCAAAAACAGCTTGACGGAAAGGGCCTGGACACTATGCCATAAGGACGAGAAGATCAGCGTGGCAGCGCTTAACAAGTATTTCAAGAAAGGCAGCACAACGACAGAGAAGGAGGATGCGATCGAGGAGGCACTCGACATGCTCATCAAGTGTGTACGCTCACATTGCGAGAAAGTGGCACCACTGCAGAAACATAAAGCGTTCTTGGACTACTTCAAGCGCGGACACAGAAGGCCAAATGAGCAGATCAAGGATTTCATCCAGCGAAGGACCGACGCCTACGAGAAGCTTCGAGACTTGACAGGTGGTCAGACACAAGTTTCAGAAGATCTACGAACATTCTTTCTGCTAGACATGTGCGGCATCACCGAGGCTCAGCACAAAACATTCTTGGGACAAGCCCAGAACGAGTACGATTGGGACGCCATTTGCGAAGTATTGGAGATCCAGCTCGACAACGTCGACGCCCGAGGATCGAACCGACAACAGCATCATGGACGGAAGTTTCGGTGGAATGCAGCCTTCGGTGCAGACCCGGAGGAAGATGAGGGAGAGCAAGAGGCAGAAGCAAGTGGAGACGAGGACGAGGACGACGCTGAAGAAATGGAAGCTTTATCAGCTGAAGTGGAGGAGCTCGAGACGGCCATGCTCATCGTGGACCTGGACGACCTCGGTGACGAGGAGGTGGAGACGTTCGCTTCCGAGGCTCAGAAACTAGGTGGAGCTATCGCAGCAAAAGGACGCGGACGTGGAAAAGGAGCGAGCTCATCATCAAACTACACCCGGCAGCGTCAGTTCATGAAGGACGGAAAGACGAACCGAGGGTTCAAACAGGGCAAGACCTACATCGACTTCGACGGCAAGATCAGCTTCGGCTCGAAGGAGCTCCAGGACAAGCTAGGGGCTTTCCAGAAAGCAAGCAAGTGCAGAGCTTGCGGAGAGACAGGACACTGGGCGGGTGACCCGGAGTGCAGCAAGACGAAGAAGACGGCACCACAGGCCAGAGCCTCAGCAGCCAGCGGACGTGGCAATGGTAAAGGACGTGGTGGACGCGCTGGAGGTTTTCTGGCACGTACTGGACTAGCGGCCGCCATGCTTGCGACCGGAGTTGGCCAGCCGACCGAGGTATACATGATCGAGCCGACGCAGAACTACACCGACGAGGTGACCACTACGATCAACGAGATTGACGACGGAATGGTCGACGCGATGGCGATAAGCCAGGTGGTACCCCCTGGCTACGTGGTCTTGGACACGGCAGCCTTGGCACCATGCGGCGGTGACAGAGCGATCGACAGCCATCTTGAGAAGTTTGACTTGGCAGACCTTCAGATGCCCACTCAGACGATCTTCAAGGGCATCAATACCGCGGCCCCCATCAAGGCCGAGAGTACACAAGCAGTACCAAGCGGTATCCAAGGACGGGACTGCACTCTCAACTTTGAGAGACTACCAAACTCAGATGCGCCCATGCTCATGAGCGTGGACCAGATGGACGCCCTGGAGGCAGTCATCAACGTCAAGCGCAACCAGGTGGTGTTCAAGAGTATATCCGACCAGCCCGTGAAGATCACGCGTTCCAAGAAGAACCACCTGATGATCAACATCACCGACTTTCCCAAGGAGCCTACACAGATCGAGGCACCGACTATCAGCACGAAGGCGCTGGACGTGTGGGCAGCCGAGAAGGAGGATCAGGTGAAGTACGTCTCAGCGGCCATCGAGAAGATCACGACCGAGGTGGACGACACTGGCATCATGACGAAGTCCAGGAAGAAGCAGGTGGACGCCTGGATCGCGGACTACGCTCAGGAGCAGAAGGCGACCTGGAGCGTGCTACGCAGAGACCAGCACCGACTGTTTGTACCTGGGACGGTGGTCAAGGAGATATATGGCGGAGAGTGCAACGTCACGAAGCTCGCAACCAGCTGTGGACTCAAGACGGGCAAGTGCAAAGACCTGCGGACGACGGGCGACAACTTGCTACTACCAAGTGTACAGGCAGCTACGATGCGAGAAATCGAGGAGGAGGACCCGTACCTCACTATCGTGCCGTTCCCGTGCGAGGGGCTCTCGCCAATCAACAACTTCTACCCGGAGAAGGAGCGGCGACGGCGCCGCACGAAGGCACTCGCACACGTGCGGTTTGCACTACAGATCGTCAAGCACAGACTGGAGCATGGACGACACGTACTACTGGAGAACCCCCTGTGCTCACAGGTCTGGAAGCTCATCAAGGACGAGCTACCTCAGGAGATGATCTGGGTTCGATGCGATCAATGTGCTTTCGAACTACGAGACGATCGTGGAGATTTGCTGCAGAAGCCTACGAGGTTTGTTACGACAGCAGTGGCATTGGCATATGCACTGGAAGTACGATGCACAGGTGACCACGAACATGGAGAAGTTCAAGGTCGAGGAGGAAAATCCAGCGAGTTCGCAGTATGGACCCCGGACTTGGCGGAAAGGATCCTCGAAGGCACGAAGCAGCAGTACGAGTTGGAGAAGCTTCTGGGTGGTGACATCATCCTGGGCATCCCCGACGCCACTGACGCATGCCCCGCTACAGGTTTTACGTCAAGCTCAGGGCTCATCATGGGCTCAGCGGCTGAAACCTACCAACAATGGCAGCAGGTACCAGCAGCACTCAAGGCGGCGATCAAGAAGCTTCACGTTCAGTTTTCGCATGCACTACGAGGCGAAGACC